ATAGTAGCAAATTAATTAAATAAAAAAAGCTTAAAATGAAAAATAATACACAAAGAAAAAAATAATAAAAAAACTAAATAATGCTTAAGTAAATTTTAAAAATTTTACAAAAAAAATTAATTTAAAAATTTTTAAATAAAAACAAATTTTGAATATTAAAGTAAATACAATTAAATAATGGAAAAAATTAACTTAAATTAAAGTTAATCAATATAAAGAAAGAAACACAAAAAATTAACAAAATACATAACAGTAAGTTAAAATAAAACAAACTAAATACAAATAAAAAATAATTATTATAAAGTATTATTAAAATTGAAATTAATTAAATAAAAAAAAAATAAAATCTAAATTAATGTATTGAAATAAAATACAGTAAGTAAATAATTAAGTTAAATTAATTAAATTAAGGAAAAATAAAATAAAGAAAGCAAATAAAATAAATCAATTAGAAATTAAATAACAAGAAAATAAAATACAATAAATTAAATTAAAAATAAATCAATTTTTCAAAGAAAAAAATGAAGAGACGAAAAAATTAGAACAGTATTGAATAAATTTACATAAAATAATAAAAAAAAATTTAATAAAATGAAATAGAATAATGAATTTAAGCAATATAAATCATATATAAAAAAGAGAATTTTAGGAAATCATTAAAATAAATTAAATGATATTTAAAAATGATGATGCGTTTCAAAAACTTATAAAACTTGGCCAAGCAATTTATGTAATTTTGAAATATTTTCTTTTATCAAAAGTAAAAAAAAATTAATCATTAGATTTCCGGACTCGCTCCTGAGTCAATACGGCTTAAAATCGAAAAAAAAGAAATTCGCACAGTCATGCCGTACTTCAGCCTTTGTGCTCTTTCTACAAGCAGCTATATTATTTGTCAGTAGTTGTTTTTTTTTTCTTTTCGCCCTTCCAGTAATTCTCAGTTGCAAAATACAACATTTAAATATTTATACTCTCATACTACGCGGAGTTCCTGTGGGTTTTGATGAAAATGATGAGTTGAAGATCCTTTCGCTGGCCTATCCCTTTACATTGGCTGTGCGTGCTTATTCATGAGTTGACACTCACTCACTCACTCGCTCACTCACTCACATATTCATTACAACTCACTGCGGGTTGCCTTTTGTATTTACTGTTTTTAGCCATTGGCTTTTTATTCACTTCAACACTTTACTTATGCGAGTTTGCATTGCGATTTATGCATATGTGTGTGTGTATGAGTGTCATGCCAATGACAAAAGACAACAGCGAGTATATAAATATGTATGTACTCGTATGGTGTAAGGTAGTTTTCTTCTTTTCTACGCTCCACTGGGTTTCGATATAATTCATTTCCTTTCTTACCTTTGTTTGAGTTAAATGCGCGTTGATTTAAGGTTTCGCCTTAATTGTGTCATTGTGTGTGTGTATTTTGTATATGCTTGATTAATTTTCAAATTGTAAAAGAGTGTGTGTGTAAACGTAAATGGATTATATTAAGCGCAGATACCGCTCCACAGTCACAGTTTTATACAGAAATAATGATGCCTAATGGTATAATGTTTTACATTAAATGCTGATTTAGTGGAATAACAAATATGTCCTACTTAATCATATTACTGTGAAAAGGTTTTTGTATGGGCATAGCTGATTATTGCTTGATTTAATGCACAAAATTTAAACTTTGCATAATTTAGAATATCAATGGTATATATATTTTTATCATATTCACTAAGATGGCTTTAGGGGAAAATACATTTAAAATGGATAAATATTCGAATGCCGGCACCTTTAGCCGAGTGGACTGTGGAGCGTTTTATGCTACTTAACTTCCAATGTAGTCCGGCGTAAAATTCAATAATAATATTCGGTCTATTATTAAATTCATTCAAAATTGTTCTATTAATTTAAGAAAAAATATACATTTTAAGCAGAAAGATTATCCATTTTGAGATTTCAAAAATTAATCAAAAGCAAATAAAATTCATTTAAAATATATTTTTTTCATGAAATTAATTTTCCGAAGGGACCAACAAAAGTTCGATTTGTTTGTTTTTGTTAAATCTAAAAATACCGAATCCATTGCAATTACTTTATTAGTCTTCCTTTCAAATCTTAGAAAGTTAGCTGAGAATTGGTCAGACGAAATTCTACCGCCATGTAATTTTCTTCGGGTTTCGGCGTTATTTACAGCCAATACAAATATTCAGTGAATGCCAAATTGTATATGGAACGATTACACTTCTTGTCTTTAAAGACTATTTCTAAGTAATTCCGAAGATTCCAGACTAGATATTTTTCACTAAAAGACGGGCACTGAGAGGGTCGACCAAAATACCAAACTCCAAAATTGGTAAAGACCCACGATTGATACAAGAAATGATCAGTTTGAATGCCAAGGCTGTACCGCAAATAATAAGTAATCAACTGGGATCAATGGGTACCACGAATTTTGAATGAGGCCCAAAAAGTTGTTGTTTCGAAAATTGTCAGTCTAAAGTAAAGTCCTTACTGGTGACGAATCTTAATTCTATAAGCACGTTCCAGAAACCAAACAGAAGTTCCAGAAACAGAAGAGCCCAACAGAAGAAAATCCACTGATGAAATCTAAGCAATGAAAAACACCAGTAAAAGTAATGATGTAAGTTTACTTCACCCGAACTGAAATCGTAGCTTCTATTTCAATGGAAAAGGGTCAGACGGTAACTGCAAAATGGAACACCGAAGAGTGTGAAGAAACGCGCAGTCCCACACTGCTAATTTTATTGCGATCTCTGGGATCGAAGAAGTATGACCAGCTCCATAGCACCAAGTAATTTTGAGTTAGTCCAAAAAATTAAAAAAAAAATTAAAAAGAAAGATCTTTAGTAGCTACGAGGATAAAATTAATGTGGTTAATGCTGAGCTTGATAAGTTTAAAAAGCAAGATTTTGAAGACTGAATACAGAATTTGATATCTAGGTTTAAGAATACATTGAGCTCAAAGATTACGAATAAAAGAATAAAAATAATTTTTTTTCCTGGTCAACTTTTGTTGATCTACTCGTATGAGTGAAGAATTACATCACTAAAGTGACCGCTACGCAAAGTTTTGCAAACAACCACGCTTTTGAGATAATTTCTCGAGCACTTTCGAAGGGTTTGATATTCCCCGCCGAGTGGCGACCGCAATTATCATAGACAAAATAATTTTGAATTTTGGTCTCGAACCTGGACTTGCCGACACGCACGTTGAACGCATGATTGATTACTTTTACGTGCGCAAATTTGAGAATATTGATGTGGGCGACTTTGGGTTCCAACAAAATAGCGCTACAGCCCTTACAGTCACGAAACAATCGATTTATTGAATTAAGTTTTATTGTAAAGTCGCTTATCTGAGCAGATAAACCGGACGATTAACGCCTTGGTAGAGCTTCTGGGCTTGTACGATATCATTTTTGAAACATGATGCTGCTAAATTCTTGGCCATAACCTTAAATTATCAGCGTTTCAAATCTGCTTGAAAGCCACATGTGTAAAGAAACATATTTGAAATCCTTTCCTTTGCTCCAATACAATCAGAAATGGTATATAAATCTCAAAATTGCTTTCTGCATATTTTCTATTTCCAAGAACAACGGTAATTCAAAAAAGGTAAAATTTAGCGAAAAGAAAAGTGAAATAACTAATAGAAAAATTGAAGGCAAAAAGGAAAGAAAAAATTATATTCAAATGAAATCTGACTGCCGGCTGACGAGAGATAACCGAAAGCGCCGCTGCCTTGTCTTTGTCTTTGCCTTTCAAAAGGGCAATTATGTTGATTTCTACATTTTCGTATTCAGGTTATATTTGTTTTTCTTTTTCTTTTTTGCTTTTGAATTTCCAATTTTCTCTTTTTAGCCATGCAACTAGTTATTGGCAAAACAATAGCAACAAACTGTTGGTTGGGGATGTGTGGGGATGAGAGAATGAGCGAATGTTAACTGTTAAGCAACAACGAGGTAACAACAACAACAACAGCTATAATAACAACAACAAAAGTGAAATATTGTAACAATCACAACGCATTGAGGCAGCAATTGCAATTTTGTCCCCGATTACATTGTCTTTTGTCAATTTCTGTGCTTCTCTCTGCTCTGCTGCTTTGCTTTTATTGTTTATATGTAAAAAATATATGTATGCTCATATATGTAAGAGTTTAGAAATTTTACGCTTGAAAAAATTCAATTCGATTTACTAATTCTTTGTACGTTCTTTTTTTCTCTTTTTTCCATTTTTTTCTTTATTTTTCTCTTTTCCCTTCAATGCTTTCCAATCATCGTCATGGTCATCGTTTGTGTGCGTGAATCGCAACTCAACTCAACGCAACGCCTCTGGTCTACTACATTCTACTGTCACTCGTGCGCTGTGCTGCCTGGCGTTACACTTGTGGTTCCGTTGCTTAAACTGTCAACATCACGACGCTCACACCGACGCCAACGCCGACGCCGACGCCGACTTGCCGCTCTATCGCCTTTGAGCGTTGCTGCAATTTTCCGTTTTATTGCCTACACAATCTGTTCGCCGCTACGATTTTGGTCACCATCAATGTGCGTCCGGTCCACCAACGCTTTTGACAACTACATTACGCTATTGATGCCGGTCCAATGCACGCACACAACAACACAAACACTTTCGAACTACGACTGAATGGTCCTTTGCTGTTCAATACATTGCCGTTTCCAATTGCTCTCCATCTCCGCGTACTGCTCGTACTTTGGATTTCCGCTACTTGCCTGCCTGCCTGCCTGCCTGCCTGCATTGGCTGGCTGTCAATACAAATTTTGCGATGTCTTCACCTAACTTCTGCCAACGCAACTATCCACTGTTGTACGTAATCATCCACACCGCCACCGCTTGTACCTCTTCCTTGTGGTGTTTTGCGGTGCTCATCACCAACTCCGCCCACATTGACCGTTCCTTGTACGTGCGGCTCTTCAATTGTCACATACACACACACACACATACATACCCGTATACAGCTTACAGAAAATGTCAATCGAGCGATGTTTTCTGCAATGCACCCGGCGGTTTGGCTCCATCAGATGGAAGCCGCCTGGCTGGACCATGTGTGCAGAAGGAGAAACGTTGCGATGGTTATCTGGATTGTCGTAATGGACGTGATGAGGAAGGCTGTACCGGCATCTCGTGTCGTTTGGATCAATTTCGTTGTGTCAATGGGCAGAAATGTATTGACGCTTCGCTCAAGTGTAATCACAAAGACGATTGCGGTGACAAATCCGATGAGCAGGGCTGCAGTAAGTATTCAATTGGAAAATCATTATCATCATCGTCATCATCAACAACAACATTATCATTATTAACATTCCAAATCGAGATTCGACCAGATCAAATCATGCATGCATGCGTAGGCATTATGTGTATAGTTGACGCCAATGGCGAGCCTTAAACCGACACCAAGTGGGAGTACAGCAGCACACTAGCCATATGTCTCCTTTCAAGTGTTTGTCTGTCGTAGTGGAATTCCTTACGTTGTAAAACAAAAGCTCCAAACTTGCTCAATGAAGTTTTTCATTCACAGCCTGACAGTTCAGCTCAGCCCTGCAGGCTGCAAGTGATACGAAGTGCTCTCTGTCTGTCTTTGCGTTTCTTCCTTTATTTCAGGCGATGTATGGGCTCGTCATCATTCAAAATGACCAACTGCCAATGTCGGCCATTAATTTTACCGTTGTACTCCGTTGAGTGTCAAACTGGTTTTACGTTTGAAGCGTTTCGGATTTTATTGTCTAGGACAAAAATAGAACTGTAGTGGGTCATACTTTAGACGTCTCGCGTCTGCAGTGCGGCAGTCGACTGGAGCTTACTTGGGTTTTGCATATCTTCTATTTCGTATTTCGTTCTTTCTTACTTATGCCCACACAAAGCAGAAGACGATTCTTAAAAAATTTACTCAAGCGAGAACAACGGTACTTAAACATACAATCCCGAATCGTTTTCTAATTTACGGGAATTTGAAAGATTTTGAAACAGTGTAAAAATCAGAAAATAAGTGACTCTAGAATCAGTCTCCTGGCTTTTCGACCTTAACTTTGGCGTCTTCTCTAGCACCGGAGCTTCGAAACTGAGATATATAGTAAAATATACAGAACCTCATACCGGTCCCAAAGTCTTCAGTTCTCAAGGTTTTCATCTAATTTGGCCAAGACGCCACATTTCGACTCTCCATAACCAAACCTTAACATTAAGAACCAAAGCAAACCGTTAAGACCAAGTTGTGATAGCGTCCTTCCAGAGATCCTCCTATTAGCTTCACTAAACTCTACAGATCTAGACCCGGAAGATGTCAAACATACCTTCCACAGACGTGCGATTGTTTTCTTACAAAGTCTCCCATATTCCAGACAATCTCTGAAAGTAACCGCAACTTGCTACGGCATGTACCGCTGTCGGCCAATTTCTTTCCGCTTCTCATTTTCGCGGTCACCGTAAGATCTCATCTCTCTGTAGGTGGCCAAAAAACCAGAGAAGACATGAGATATAATCGCCAATACAAAATCATATCATAATTCTTCGAGAACTGCATTGACGGTGTCGAAAGGATCTATATAGCCCCTTCGGCCTTCAAGATCCACAAAAGCCAATGCCGAGCCCCAAGCGTGAAAGCAATCCTTATACGTAGGAAAAAAACCTACGGTCCCAAAGGAAATGGTTAAGCCTCTTGTTGCAGATCAAGCCGTCAGTTGGGACACGATGAAAATCTCTTTCAGAGTTAAAATTGATTTGAAGTACTTTGCTTCCACATAAATCTCTACAATATCAAACTTCGATCAAGCAAACGGCCCACCTAAACACCAGAGATTGAAAGATTTGTATCATACTAACTATGGCTGTCAAAAGCTTGACCTACTCTGAGCTTCTAGAAAAAGGAAGCTTTCAGTGCTCTGTCTCCAGAGACCCGATTACGTGATCTCGTTATATACAAGATGCTCGAGTCCCGAGATCTGATCCCATTACTTTCGGGCTTCTGAGTGTAGCGAACCTCACATCAATAACCACAGACTACGTCAATTATTCTGTGATTCCTTTTCATTTTTTTTAACCGCTCCTCCGTTTACCTCGTCTCCACTTAGGTGCATGTCTGAAAAACTTATTTCCACTTAGCTGGATTTGATTTCAATAGCTACCACATACCATCAACTAGAGTCATTTCGAATTTACATTTTCTTCCCCCCTAGATTTTCCACCCTGCCATCATGGCCAATTTCGTTGCACAAATGCGCTGTGCATTCCATCGAACTTCTATTGTGACGGATATCACGACTGTGCTGACGAAAGTGATGAGGCCAATTGCACGGCAATCGCATGTCCTGATAATAAGTTCCTTTGTCCGCGCGGCGGGCCAAATGGCACACCCAAGTGTATATTGAAATCTCAACTGTGCGATGGCAATCGTGATTGTGAGGATGGCAGTGATGAGGAGACCGCGTGCTGTAAGTTTCAACCACATCTTGGTTTACTTGCCGATTAAGATGAAAACTAAATAATCTCTTCATTGCAGCTACGGCTTCGTGTCCGGCGCTTAGTTGTGAATATCGTTGCGGTCCCTCGCTGACTGGTGGCGCCTGCTATTGCCCGAATGGCCAATCGATCGCAGCGGATAATCGCACATGTATGGATCGTGATGAATGCGCTGAATGGGGTTATTGCGATCAGTTGTGTACGAACACGGACGGCTCATTTAGCTGTGCGTGTGCACAAGGCTACAGCTTATTCAATAGTTCGAAATGTATTGCGCCCGATGCCAAGACGCTACACCTTGTTATTGCACACGATCGCGCTGTAGTCCGTATGTCGGCGCATGGTGATGATCCACGTGTGTTGGCCAATGCCACAGCCGCTTCGGGCGTGGCTTTCCATTACCAACGCAACACGCTCTACTGGTCCGATATTAAGACACGTAAGGTGCAGTCAATAAAGTTGGACGTCTTCAATGCGGGCATCTCTACACTGGATTTGACATTACCCGGTACGTGGGCGCCCGTGGCGCTGGCCGTGGATTGGGTTGGCGATAAGATTTATGTAGCCGATTTGATTGGTCAGAAGATTGATGTTTTTGAGCTGAGCGGCAATTGGCATGCAGTCGTGTTGGGTTCAAATCTTACCAGCCCTGCTGATCTTGCACTCGATCCCACATCGGGTCTCATGTTCGTTGCCGACGGTGGCCAAGTGTTGCGCGCTCATATGGATGGCACACATGCACGTTCGATTGTCTCTGAGGCCGCGTACAAGGCGTCCGGTGTCACCGTGGATATCATAGCAAAACGCGTTTACTGGTGCGACTCCTTGCTGGACTATATCGAGACAGTCAACTATGAGGGCAACAATCGTATAATGGTGCTGCGCGGTCAGCAAGTGCCAAGCCCATCGCGTTTGGCACTCTTCGAAAACCGCATCTACTGGACGGATGCCACCAAGCAGGGTGTTATGTCTGTGGACAAATACGCAGGTCCCACCTCGATACAGGTCACTTACAAAGCGAAGGATATACGTGAACCGAAGGGTATTGTGGCTGTGCATGCGCTGAGTCAACCACGCGTCTCCAACCCGTGCGGTAATAACAATGGCGGTTGTAACCACATGTGTATTGTGACAGCAGTCAAAGGCGCGCCCACCGGCTTGGGATATCGTTGTGCCTGTCACACGGGCTATCAGCTACAGACCGATTTGAAGAATTGTAAAATTGTGCGCGAGTTTCTCATGTACTCACAGCAGCGCTTCATCAAGGGTAAGGTGCTCGAGCCAGTTATTGAGGGTTTCAGCGATGCCATTTTGCCTGTGGTGTCACGACGTGCGCGCTTCGTTGGTTTGGATTATGATTCGCGTGATGCTTTCATTTACTACTCAGATGTGCTGCAAGATGTCATCTATCGCGTGCACCGCAACGGCACGGGACGTGAGATTGTGCTCGCCTCACAGAATGAAGGTGTGGAAGGTTTGGCAGTGGATTGGGCTGCGAAGAATCTCTACTACATTGACTCTCGCAAAGGTACGCTAAATGTGCTATCCACACGTAACGTGACCTATCGACGTACACTGCTCAAGAATCTGAAACGCCCACGTGCCATTGTTGTACATCCCAATCGGGGTTTCATCTTCTTCTCGGAGTGGGATCGCCCCGCAAATATTACCCGTGCTAATTCTGACGGCACCAATCTGCTCGTTTTCAAAAACGTCACGCTCGGCTGGCCCAATGGCCTCTCAATTGATTTCAAAGAGGATCGCGTTTACTGGTGTGACGCTTTGTTGGATCACGTGCAGCATTCAAATCTCGATGGTAGTGATATTAAGACAGTTAACTCGCGTTTGGTGCGTCATCCATTCTCCATTGTCATACACAATGACTGGATGTACATAACGGACTGGCGTCTGGATGCCATCATACGTCTGCACAAGTTGACTGGTGAGCAAGAGGAAATGATGGTGCGCGAGCCCCAAACTAACCGTCTCTACGGTGTCAAGGTGTACAGTCACGAGGTACAAACCATAACCGACATACATCCCTGCCATGTGAACAATGGTGGCTGTGAGAAGATTTGCTTTGCCATACCACGTAATGATTCCATGTTGCCCGCACTTCAGACACGCTGCTCCTGCCCCTACGGCGAGCGTTTAGCGGAAGATCAACGCTCCTGTGCAGCTGATCCTAATGCTGAGCCACCAGTTCAACCATGCCCCAACTCTTGGGACTTCACCTGCAACAACCAGCGTTGTATACCGAAGTCATGGGTGTGTGACGGCGACGACGATTGCTTGGATAACAGCGACGAGGAGCAGAACTGCACAAGTGAGTACAAATAAATTTCCATTTTTTAAGTTTCTAATCTTCTTAGTACGCTACATTCTAGAACCGACTTGCGGCTCCAATGAGTTCCAATGCAAATCCGGACGTTGTATACCGCTCAACTTCCGCTGCGATCAGGAAAACGACTGCGGTGACAACTCAGACGAATTCGAATGCGGCAATGTCACCTGTGGCACCGCGCAGTTCGCCTGTGAAAACGGCCGATGCATACCGAATATGTGGAAATGCGATAGCGAGAACGATTGTGGTGATGGCTCGGATGAGGGCGATTTCTGTGCGGAGAAAACTTGCGCTTACTTCCAATTCACTTGCCCTCGTACGGGACATTGCATACCGCAGAGTTGGGTTTGTGATGGCGACGACGATTGCTTCGATAAACAGGATGAGAAAGACTGTCCGCCCATCACTTGTCTGGCGAATCAATTCAAATGCGCCGATCTGCGTCAGTGCGTCGAGGAGTCATACAAATGTGATGGCATACCGGATTGTAATGATGGTAGCGATGAGCTGGACTGTCCTTCGATGGGTCCGAACCAGTGTAATTTGGAGAAACACTTCCGCTGTAAATCGTCTGGTTTCTGCATACCAATTGCCTGGCATTGCGACGGTTCCAACGATTGTTCCGATCGTTCAGATGAAGAGGATTGCGGGCAAATTACCTGCGCGCAGAACTTTTTCAAATGCAACAACTCAAATTGTGTATTCAAGGCGTACATTTGTGATGGTAAAGACGATTGCGGCGATGGTTCGGATGAGAGCTCTCTACATGCCTGCGTGCCGCCGCCCTTCAAGTGTCCCTACGGACAGTGGAAGTGTCCGGGTGTTAGCGAGCGTTGCGTGAACATGACCTCGGTGTGCGATGGCACGGCCGATTGCCCGAATGGCGCGGATGAAGGCGAAGGCTGTGATCTGGCTGAGTGTACACATCAAGGTGGCCTCTGTTCGAATGGTTGCCAAAAGACGCCGCTGGGTGCCACCTGTGTTTGTCCACCTGGCTCGGAGATTGGCGAAGACGGTTACACTTGCGTCGATATGAACGAATGCGATCCACCAGGCCTCTGCTCGCAACAATGTACCAATACGAAGGGCTCCTACTTTTGCTCTTGCACGGATGGTTATCTCCTCGAACCGAATAAGCACACTTGCAAGGCGGTGAATCATTCGGCAGCCTTCCTCATCATATCCAACCGTCATTCAATACTTGTCGCCGATCTGAAAGAGCAGGGTTTGGAACGCGTGCCAATCATTGTGGAGAATGTTGTCGCTACCGCTTCAAATATGCACACAGGCACGATATTCTGGAGTGACATGAAATTGAAGAAGATCTCGCGTTTAGATCGTGGACAGGAGCCACAAGAAATTATCAATACCGGCTTGGACTTGGTTGAGGGTTTGGCGTATGATTGGGTCGCGCGCAATCTATATTGGCTGGACAGTAAATTGAATACGATTGAGGTGTCTGCAGAAAATGGCTCAAGCCGATTGGTGTTGGTACGCGAAAACATCACACAACCGCGTGGCATGTGTCTTGACCCGAGCCCGGATGCACGCTTCATCTTCTGGACAGACTGGGGTGAGAATCCGCGTATCGAACGTGTCGGCATGGATGGCACAATGCGTGAGACTATCATTAATACAAAGATCTACTGGCCGAATGGACTTACTTTGGATATTGCCACCAAACGCGTCTACTTCGCTGATTCTAAATTGGATTTCATTGACTTTTGCTACTACAACGGCACAGGTCGTCAGCAGGTTTTGGCTAGCAGTCACTATCTACTGCATCCACACTCGCTGTCGCTCTTCGAGGACACACTCTACTGGACAGATCGTCAGCTAAACCGTGTGCTATCGGCCAACAAGTTCCGCGGCAAAAATCAGACAGTGGTTTCGCATTTAATCAGCCAACCCCTCTCCATACATGTACACCATCCCTCGCTACAGCCAATCCATCCAAACCCTTGTGAAAAATCGAACTGTCAGCATCTCTGTCTCTTAAGTCCCAGCGCACAGGTGGGCTACTCATGCAAGTGTAAGCCCGGTTATCGCCTAATGAGCGAAGGTCGCTGCCTGGAAGAGGAAAATCCATTCTTGGTAGTCGTCAAAGGTACACAGATCGTCGATATACCATTGAATGGCGGTGATGCGCGCGCTGGCTCGCTCGCTCCAGTCATCGGCATTGAGAGCAGCACCGGTTTGGACTTCGACCGCAAAGGCGAGACCTTATACTGGGTGCAGGGACGAGAAGGTGATGATGAGAACTGCACAATTTACTCCACACCTTATGGTGGTGGTAATAAAACGCAATTCCTCGGCTCCGATACCGGCATTGTGGGCTCGCCCTACACTATCGCTTTCGACTGGCTCGGTCGCAATCTCTATATGGGCAATCGCATTGCTAGCAACATTGAAGCGGTGCGCGTAGATGGCAAGATCAAGTATCGCACCATAATACTCGCTAACGACGGCAATCAAACCTCAGTATCAAAACCCAAACAAATGGTACTCGATCCGAACGACGGTAAACTCTTCTGGATTGACGAAGGTGGTTACGGTGTGCCGGTAAAGATCGGGCGCGTAAATATGAACGGTAATAACCCGATGGTGCTGAAGTCAGAAATCGATCAGCCCGAAAGCATTGCTTTGGATGTGGAGAAAAAATTGGTTTACTACAGCACACAATATCCCCCTACAATCTGTGTGATGGATTATCATGGTGAGGACCATCGCGTCTTGTTATCCGAGGACAATGCAATTTCACGCCCACGCAGCTTGGGCATCTTGGACTCAAGGCTGTACTATCTGGATCCCATATATGAGAAGATTGTACGTGTAGACCTGCCACGCGGTGATAACCCCAAAGTCATTGTGGATAACGAACCCGATCTGAAGAGCATGATCATCTTCAAGAAGCGTCCAATGATGCAGCACCCCTGTCAAATGAATAATGGCGGTTGTGAGCACCTCTGTATACCAGATGATGTCTCATCGCGTAGCTGTGCCTGCGGTATGGGCTATCGCAAGGATAACGATATCAACTGTGTGTCTTATAAGACATTCGCAGTTGTCTCGCAACTGGATGTAACGCGTGGCTACAGTTTGACCGACAGCTCGGAAGCAATGGTACCTATTAGTGGACCGGGTCATCATATACTACACGTCGATGTACTCTTCCGTGAACAATGGATCTACTGGGCCGAATACAACCGTGGCACTTGGAATGGCATTTTCCGTCGTCGTCCTAACGGCACCGAGTTGCAACACATTATTAAAGACGGTATTGGCAGCAATGGCATACGCGGTCTCACCATCGATTGGGTCGCAGGCAATATGTATTTCACGAACATTTACCCGCATGAAAATTATGTTGAGGTCTGTTGGTTGGATGGCAGTAATCGCAAGGTGTTGGTGAAGACCACAACGGACGCTCCACGTGAACTAGCTGTTAATCCGCTCAAACGTCTGCTGTACTGGATCGATTATGGTCAACATCCACGCATTGGCAAGGCATACTTAGACGGCTCTAACTGGACGCCTATGGTCACATCCGGCATATCGAACCCCCGTGACTTGACCGTTGATATGCTAACGCATGATGTTTACTGGGTCGACTCGAAGCTGGATACCATTCAGAAGATCTCCTATCAAGGCGGCAATCGCAAAATCATACGCCGTAATTTACCCAACCCAATGGGTATAGCTGTCTATCTGAGCGACGTCTACTGGGTGGATCGTAATCTCTTGACCGTCTTCAAGGCATCCAAGTTGTCCGGCAACGAAACGGCGCCAGTACGTGTGCGCACCAATTTACAAAAGCTACGCGACATTGCCATTTACAACATCAACAATCAACCACAGGACGAAAGTAATCCCTGCACACGCTACGGCAATGGCGGCTGCGACCAACTATGCTTCAGTTTTCCGCCCAACAGCACGAACCCTTCCCGCCTCAGTTACCGTTGCGATTGCTCCACCGGCAAGCTCTCTGCCGACGGACGTAAGTGCGAGGTGGTCAACGAATATCTCGTTTTCGCCACACGTACCGAAATACGCGCCGTCAATTTAGATCCACATTCCACACAGGTGCCCTTCACACCAATGAGCAACCTCACGAATGTTGTCGGTCTCGACTTTGACTTTGCAGACAATCACATGTTGTTCACACAAATCCGTCCATGGGCTAAGATTGCCTACACCAAGGCTGATAACCCGAACAGCAATGATGTGAATGTGGTTTTGAGCAGAGGTATTAACCCTGAAGGCATCGCATACGATTGGACACAGAAGAAGATTTACTGGACTGACAGCTCGAATAACTCTATCTACGCTATGAACTTGGATGGCACTGATCTGGTAATGATTGCACGTGTGGAGCGCCCACGTGCTATTGTCTTGGATCCATGCAACGGTACACTCTACTTCACCGACTGGGGTCGCTTCGGCACATCGGGCAAGATCTTCCGCACCACAATGGCTGGCTCGCTGAAACGCGCTATTGTCGATAAGGAACTCTCACAACCCAGTGGTTTGGCAATTGACTATGATGAACGTAAACTGTACTGGACCGATGCAGTGCGTGAAAAGATCGAACGCGCCGACTTGGATGGCAAGAATCGTGAGCTGCTTGTAGATGCGACAATATATCCCTTCGCTATAACAGTATTCCGAAACTATATCTACTGGACTGATCTGCAGCTGCGTGGCGTTTACCGCGCTGAGAAGCACACGGGCGCCAATGTGGTTGAGATGGTCAAACGGCTGGAGGACTCACCACGTGATATACGAGTTTACAGCGCTGAACGACAAAAGTGCTCGGTTAATCCCTGCCTCATCAAGAATGGCGGCTGCGCACAGAGCTGTCATCCGGCGCCGAACGGCAAGGCAGAATGCAAGTGCGATGGCAACTCAAAGGTGGTCAATGAAGGACGCATGTGCGCGCCGCGTAACAACACCTGCGAGGCAAGCAAATTCTATTGTCAGAACGGCAAGTGCATCTCGCGCATGTGGTCCTGCGATGGTGATGACGATTGTGGCGATAACTCGGATGAGGATCCCAACTACTGCGCGTACCATTCCTGTTCGCCCACCGAGTTCCGTTGCAACAATGGACGCTGCATCTTCAAGTCATGGAAGTGTGATCATGAGAACGATTGTAAGGATGGCTCCGACGAGATCGATTGTACGTATCCACCTTGCGTGGATGGTGAATTCACATGCGGTAACGGTCGCTGCATACCCATGGCACAGGTGTGTAATGGCGTCAATGACTGCAAAGACAATACAACCTCCGATGAGACGCACGAACGTTGTCCACAGAATACAACCTGTCCGCCGAATCATCTCAAGTGTGAGAAGACCAACATCTGTGTGGAACCCTACTGGCTGTGCGATGGTGATAACGACTGTGGTGACAACTCAGACGAGGATCCTCTACACTGCGGCCAACGCACTTGCCCGACGAATAGCTTCCGCTGCCCGAACCACCGCTGCATACCGGCGACTTGGTACTGCGATGGCGATGATGATTGTGGTGATGGCGCTGACGAGCCACCAGAGTATTGCAAGTCGGAGGGACGCACTTGTTTCGGTGATCTCTTCACTTGCGACAATGGCAATTGTATACCGCGAATATATATCTGTGATGGTGATAATGATTGTCTGGATAACAGTGACGAGGATAACAGACATCAGTGCAGTAAGTTTCAGGAGGGTTAGGGGAGATAAACATAGTGATAATTTCTTTCTTGTTCTCTTATAGATGACCGGAAATGTGATGAGGAAACCGAGTTTACTTGTCTGGAGAATAAAGCCTGGGGTCGCGCACAGTGCATACCGAAGAAATGGATTTGTGACGGCGATCCGGATTGTGTTGATGGCGCTGACGAGAATACTACCCTACATAACTGTGCCACACAACAACCCTGCGGCGAAGACATGTTCACTTGCGACAATGGACGTTGCATCAATAAGGTAAACTTCCTTGAGTACACACTGCAAGTAAAAATTTCACTAAACTTTCTTTTCCTTACCAGGGTTGGACTTGCGATCACGACAACGACTGCGGCGACGGCTCGGACGAAGGTAAATTCTGCAGCTCCAAGTACAAGAGTTGTTCCGACCAGGAGTTCACCTGTCAGAACTTCAAGTGCATACGTAATCAGTATCGTTGTGATGGCGAGGACGACTGTGGCGATCATTCAGATGAAGTGGGTTGCAAGAAAGATAATACGACCTGTCCGAACGGTCAATTTACTTGCACAAATGGCCAGTGTATTGACTATCATCTGGTGTGTAATAAAGTGCCCGACTGCAGCGATGAATCTGATGAGCCGGCCCATTGTAATGTGGACGAGTGTGCGAAGGTCGAGATACATCAATGTGGACACAAGTGTGTGGATACGCTGACGAGCTATTATTGTGACTGTAACCAGGGCTATAAGTGAGTATTTCGTAGAGAGTACTTTTACTTACAAATCATGCTCAATTTCATGTCTTTCCATTTCTCACGCCAAACAGACTCATGCCCGACGGCAAGGCCTGCGCTGATATCGATGAATGTCTGGAGCTGCCCGGCGCTTGCTCGCAACACTGTTCGAACACCCCCGGCGGCTACTACTGCAAGTGTGACGAACGCTACTATGAACGTCAGACGGACGAGCATACCTGCAAGCGTAAGGATAACACCGCTCCTTGGTTGGTCTTCACAAACAAATACTATGTGCGTAATATGTCGCTCGATGGCAAACAGTACAATCTCATGCATCAGGATCTTATGAATGTTGTCGCTTTGGACTTTGATATACAAGAGCAGTACATGTACTTCTGCGATGTGACCGCCAAAACCATTTTCCGTTCGAAGTATGGTCTCGATGATGATGAGAAACCGGAGCGTGAGGCCATCATACGGCACGACTCTCATGGTTTGGAGGGCATCGCAGTCGATTGGGTTGGTCGCAAGCTCTACTGGCTCGATAGACACTCGAAGAACCTGGATGTATCTGAGCTGGATGGCACGAAACGCAAAACGCTCCGCAGTGGCGTTATCGATCCACGCGCTTTGGTTGTTCACCCCGGCATTGGCTATTTGTATTTCACTTCGTGGCATTTGCAGGCGTACATTGCCAAAATGGGCATGGATGGTTCGAACTTTACCCGCATACTCACCTGGGATGACGATATTGCATGGCCGAATGCGCTAACGTTAGACTACTTCACAGATCGAATTTACTGGGCAGATGCTCATTTGGATTATATTGCTTATACGGATCTGGAGGGACGTCATCGTCATGTAGTGTTGTCGGGCGTTAAGGTGCCACACATCTTTGCACTCTCACTCTTCGACGACTATCTTTACTGGACCGATTGGAATTTGAAGGGCATTATGCGCGCCAATAAGTTTACAGGACAGAATTACACCGTTTTACGGAACACCACCCACCGTCCATATGATATACATATCAACCATCCACTCAGACAACTGCCATACACGAACCCTTGCGGTAAAGACAACGGCGGCTGCTCCCATCTGTGTCTAATTGCGCCACCACCCGAGTCCACCTACTTCAATATTGAGGGCTACATCGAGGAGGGTGCGCCCAGCTATAAGTGTGCTTGCCCCAACCAGTTCTACTTGGCACGCGATAGTAAGACCTGCATTGCCAACTGCACAGCTGGTCAGCATCGTTGCGGCGGCAATGATGAGAAATGTATACCCTGGTTCTGGAAGTGTGATGGCGAGAAGGATTGTAAGGATGGCTCGGACGAACCATCGACTTGTCCGACTCGTCATTGCCGCGCCGGTACATTCCAATGTAAAAACACCAACTGCACACCCTCAGCCACGATTTGCGATGGTACTGACGATTGCGGTGATGGTAGTGATGAGCAAAACTGTGATCTGCCCTGCCCCGAATCGGACTTCAAGTGTAAGTCCAGTGGTCGCTGTATTTTGGATAGCTGGCGTTGTGATGGCGATGCGGATTGTAAGGACGGCAGCGACGAGGACCCCGCTGTGTGTCGTAAGTAGAATGTGCATATAATATTAAATTTCACATGATTCAAATCCGAAAATTACTAACCAGACAAACGTGCCTGTGATCCTGAGACCGAGTTCAGCTGCAAGAATGGCCGCTGCATACCAAAACTGTGGATGTGCGACTTCGACAACGACTGCGGCGATGATTCCGATGAACCGGCCTACATGTGTCGCCAGCGCAACTGCACAACCGGTTGGCAACGCTGCCCCGGCCAGTCGAACTACCGCTGCATACCTAAATGGCTCTTCTGTGACGGTAAAGACGATTGCCGTGACAACAGTGATGAGTTACCAGAGAATTGCCCGAAATGCTCTTCGGAGACGGACTTCAAGTGCGCCAACAACCGCTGCATACCAAAGTAAGTTCAGCATAAGCTCCACTTATCACCTCCGAGCGCTTTTGTATTAAACACTGTTTTATACACACTCCTTTCAGACAATGGATGTGCGACTTCTCGGACGATTGCGGCGATGGCAGTGACGAAAATGATGCAATCTGCAAGGGTAAATATCGTGAGTGCTCCGAGTCGGAGTTCCATTGCGCTAATGGCAAGTGTATTTCGTCGCGCTGGCAGTGTGATCATGAGGACGATTGCGGTGATAATTCTGATGAGATGAACTGCGAGGGTTACAAGTGTAAGAACGGCACCTTCCAGTGCATGTCTGGCCACTGCATTGCCTCGTACTTCCGCTGCGACGGTGACCGCGATTGTCGCGATATGTCAGATGAAATTGACTGCCCGCCACGCTTCCCCGGCGGTCGCTATTGCCCCGAGTCACGCTTCCAGTGTAATAATAATCTCTGCGTTTCACCATCGGATCTCTGCGATGGCACTGACGACTGCGGTGATGGTTCAGATGAGGATGCCAAGGTGTGCACCGACTTCAATTGTGACACGTTGCGCCGCTTCCAGTGCGCAAATCATCGTTGTGTGGCGCGTTATCAGATTTGCGACGGTGTGGACAATTGTGGTGATGGCTCCGATGAAAATAACATGACGCTGTGCGCGAGCAAACAGAAGCCTTGCGATCTTTACACACAGTATCAATGCGCGAATAAGAACTGCATAGAACGCTCGCAGGTTTGTGATTACTCAGATGATTGTGGTGATGCTTCCGATGAGTTGGGCTGCCACCACACGAATACTTGTTCGGAGCTGACACGCGGCGGTTGTGAGCATCACTGCCACAATCTGACTGACGGCGGCTACATCTGCGCTTGTTATCCGGGCTATATAATATCGGCTGACAATAAGAAACGTTGCTTAGATGTTGATGAATGCGCGACGCGACAGCATACGTGCTCACATAAATGTCAGAACCTCAATGGCACATACTCGTGCTCATGCCGTGAAGGTTTCCGTCTAGTGGACAGTCAATCTGGTGTGTGCAGAGCTGAGAAAGAAGATATTGTGTTGGTATTCGCTAATGGACCAGAGATACGTGGTCTAGATCTGCAAAAACGTGAAGAGTTCGATGTGATTGCGGCTGAAAAACGTATCGAAGCTTTGGATTATGATGCACAACAACAAATCGTCTTCTGGGCTGACAGTTATGATAAGACCATCAAACGCTCCTACATGGTGAATGCCTTGGATGGACAGGCAAAGATTGGTTTTGCACAAGACCTCAATATGAAGGGCGGTTCCAAGCCCACAGCAGTTGCCATCGATTGGCTTGCGTCCAATCTCTACTGGACCGAAGTGGATCGCACTGGCTCGAAACCGCGCGGTCGTGTAATGGTTGCCAAAACAGATGGTCGCTATAGACGTTCGATTGTCAATGCTGGACTCGAAGTACCCACATCAATTGTTGTAAATCCACAACTGGGACGCACATATTGGGCGGATGCCGGCTCGGCACCGAAAATTGAAGTATCATGGATGGATGGTTCTAAGCGCCGACCGCTCATCACCGATCGTATACGCCATCCTACTGGACTCACCATTGACTACTCGCAAGATCACGTCATCTATTGGGTGGATAGCAAATTGAATACCATCGAATCTATGCGTCCCGACGGCTCAATGCGTAAGATGATTGTTAAAGGTGATCAACTACGTCATCCCATCTCATTGGATATATTCGAGTCCACTATGTACTGGGTAACACGTGACTCTGGAGAAGTGATGCGTCAGGATAAGTTCGGCCGTGGTGTACAAGTAAGCATTCATCGTAATCTCGTCAATCCGTCCGGTTTGAAGGTATACCACGAACAACGTTATAATACCTCGCTACGCAATCCCTGCTTCAACTCGAGCTGTTCCCGTTTGTGTCTACTCGTGCCGGGTGGTCATCGTTGCGCTTGTCCGGACAATTCCGGTCCACCACCCTCACATCGCAGCACTGCTGAGGTGATTTGTGATGCCGCCGCCGAGCGTCCACGTCCGTCGCCACGCATTTGCCCATGCCAGAATGGTGGTCACTGCCGTGAAAATGAGCGTGGCGATTTGTATTGCGAATGTCAACCTGAGTTCAAGGGTGAGCATTGCGATCGCAGCATGGCGGGCGCGTTCGGTCATGGCGGTGGTAATGTAACGGCGGTCGTTGTGCCAATAATGGTGATACTATTAGTTCTGCTGACGGCGGGTGGTGCGTGGTACGTTATACGCAAGAAGCCATTGTAAGTATTATCGAGTTATGTGAGTGATTTTATCTGAAAACTCTATTTAATATCTTCTTTTTTTTTTTACCCATCTGTTCTTTTAGCGGCAAGTTGGCGCGTCTACCCACATTAACATCGTCACAAAGTGTCACATTCCGTCACGGCACGAATGTAGAGTTTAATGCTCCAGACTTTCCAGGTGGCGCCACAGCGGGCCCGTCCAATGATGTAGCTCCTATGGAGGGCTATAACCTGCAGACCGTGAGTACGGCCAAAACGCGCGACTTCTCGAACCCCATGTACGATGCCGTGCAATCGGGTACCAATACAGATCCGAGCCTGAGTAATGGAACAGGTGAGTAATATACTTAAGGCCAATGTAAGCTTAAGTTTGCGTCGGTCTATTATGGAGTGTCTACGTATATAGGAAGAATGAAGAGTCCAGAGGAAGCCTTTGAGCATGCTCATATTGCGATAAAGAGTTCGACATCACAGAGTCAATGCATAAAGTGACTAACACTCGATCGCTTGCAACAGTTCGCTCTTTTTGCAAGCCCAATCACACAACCAGAAGAGAAGTATTAGATGAGGAGCTCATTAGATGGCATGGAGAGATATTATCGGTGCAGGGTGCTAGAGATAAATTGAGTTTATTCTGATGTACGAGTGTTAACCAGATTCAATTTTAATAGTTTTATTGTTGTTGTAGCGGTTCGCCAACAACGTTTAGGAACAGGCTAGTCAGTATACTGTAGTTATCGAGGTAATCTAACGTGAGGTCCAGGAAACGAGCTGTTTCGACAAGTTCGGCCCAGCTAGATACTTTGGCTTTCGGGAGCATGCAAAGGGGTGGTTAGTGTCGTGCCTCAGTGCAAACAGAACATACGTTAGGTATGACGGAATCGAGTCTGGATAACTAGGGACTTAACTTGCTACAATATCCAGACCTGAGCTGTGCCAGTATTACACGGGACTCTCTCTTCGAGAACGCCATTAACAGGGAGACAGTTCGTGGAGGTGTTGATTGCCTCTTGATGTGTGGCGTCAACTGTCTGAGTCTCGGAGTTTGACCACTCAGGTAGCCCATAATCCACGTTATTAACTCCGGTGGTGATGAGGATTCCTCAAAGTCCGTAGCACTATTTGCACTCTCCCATCGAAGTCTACTGAGTTAAAATCATAATTTCTCACACCGAGGTTGTATTCTAAATGGTCCCGGCAGTAAGTTCAGGATAGAAAGATGTTCATATTCCATACTTTTCGCACTTTGGCAGCGGAATTTGAGTAACTTTTATTAAGTCGAAGAATACTTAACGTTCTAAACTCAGCCGTGAAGGTCTCGCAGATATCTTTGCGACAGCTAGAATCTAGATCTGGTACTATTCAAAACATCACCTGCCGCTTGAAGAGGTTTGATTATTGCCAAGCCAATATTTTTACCATCTCTTAGTAGCTCTTCGGGCGAGAAATCCATTAAGTACTAATTTTTATTTTATATTATATTTAATTTTTTTATTAATCGACGGCTTTATTTAACGCGTTCCATCGCATCTTCATCTTTTCACACAGGTATTTACGAAGTGCCACATGATCCCTCCAAAACCAAACCGATCGGTCCATTTACCGAACCCGTTTCGGCCATATTAGCGCCTAGCAGCATAACACACAAATCATCGCCGCAATTACAGTTGCGTACCAGAGAATTAGATCCATCAGCGGATACTGGCAAGGATACGCAATATCTTGTTGAGGAGGATAAGTCTGAATGCTGATATAAAATTATATAGAACTGTATGAAACAACAGCAAAAACAACATCTACTAAAGCAACACCACCAACACTACAAATCTGTATGCGGCAGACAAAACAATAGTAATAATAACAACAGCAACAACAATAAAAATAATAGCAAATCAAGTGTGACGAGTACATATTCCAATTATTTCATACAACAAACAGTAACAACAGCAACAGCTACAACAACAACAACAAAGTATAACCGTAAAAGTAGAAGAAAACAAGAGCAACAGCAACCTAGAGATATATATACAACGCTATAGAATAAAGTGAAATGGAAAAAAGTAAAATCAAATAACGGTAACTGCTTGTAAATGCAGTGATGAAAATTTCAAAATTATAAATGTAAAAATTATATGAAATGGAAAAAACAAAAACAAATTAGCAAATAAACTAGATAAAAGAAAGCTAGGGAAAATATCATGCATACATACATACATACATATATATATAAATATATACATATACACATGCATATATTATATTTGTAATTAAACAAATGCAAATAAAACCACAACCAAACGAAGATAATTTTTTTCTAAATTTTTTAAACGCGCCATTTGCATGTAAAAAAAAACTCTACAAACAAGAACAACTGCTTTTTAAGAATTTATACCGAAGAAAAAAATAATTAGTGTAATGAAAATACCGTTAGCTAAACATATCTCTTTAAGTGCGTAAGCGCTAAAGCAATACAACAAAAATAATTTATGTGTCTAATGAACAGCAGACGAAGAAAATAAGAAACCGTAGAAATGAAAAATGACAGAAAAACGGAAAAAAGAGACGGTAAAAGCGTAAAGCGAAAACTACTGATGCAATTATTAAATACTAAGTTAAATTATATAACTAATAAAAGAAGAAGAAGAAAACGAGAAATAAGAAAATATGTAAAAGAATAAATGCAATATATATATATATATATATATAATATATATGTATATACACATGTATGTTTGTATATGTATGCTTTTCATTTTACGTTTTTGTGCTTTTGCGCTTTTCTCGCGCTTTCCCTCAATACATTCCACACACACCACCCACCCACACACACACACACACACTTGTATGTACATATGTACTGTTAACCAATGCATTCCAAAGCAAGCTTTTTACAACCTGAATATATGTGTATGTAAACATTTCAAAGAAATCCAATACTGCAAAAACAACAATACATCACATTTTATTTACTTTTCTATTAAACTTTTTTTTTAGCTTCAATTTTGAGGTTATAAAAACATATAAAAAAAACCCTACAAAAAGAAATGCGAGTGCATATATACAAGTACATTTATATATATTTCTGATTGATAAATGACAATATTACCACAAAAGAATGAAACTACGCAAAAGAAAATTAGAAATTAAAAAATTTAAAAAAAAAGTATATATGTAATTTGTATTGAAAAAAACGCATAAAAAAGCAAAATAATAAACTAGCTAAAATATAATGCAAATGAAAAACATTAAATTAAAATAAAGAAAAATACTAACTAATTTAAATTTGCATATAAATGTATGTATATACTAAGTAAATGCGTGTAGCAGAGTATATATTATAGTATAAGAATATAAATTTGCAATGAGAGTGTTTAAAGTATATTTCCGTATATATTTTTCTATATTAGGCAGACATAAAAGCAAACAAAAAAACGAAAAATAAAGAAAATTAAGTAAGCGAAGAAAGAATAAAAGCGCTAAACTAGTGATTAGAGAAAAAATAAAATGAAAATATTATATAAAAAAAAGAAAATTATCAAACGAAAAACAGAAACTACCAAGGAGAAGAAGAAAAACAACAACAAAAACTTTTTATATACATATTTTAAAATGTTTTAGCTTAGTGCAAATGAGTAAATATTTAAACAAACGGGAAAATGTTAAATTTACAAAACAGCCCAAAAGAGCTACCCACACAAAATCAGAGTTTTGCAAAAATAAGCGGCGAGAAACAACAACACCACATCTTTCCAAACGTTGTTACTAATAAAATGTTTTATTTAAAATTAAATTTGAATTAAAAAATATATATAAATTAATTATTTAGCAATATTGCTAAATATATTTTTATTGTATATGTATGTACGTTATACCCCTTTTTTTATTATTATAATTATTATTACTATTATTATGATTATTATTATCACTATTATTACGATTATTACATAAAATAATATTATATAATCAGACGCCAGCAAAAAAGAAAGGAATAAAAGTGAACTTAAGCAACAAGCTGAAATAAAAGTAAGCGAAAAGTGAGTGTAAAACGAAAGAAGAAGCAAAAACATTGCAAAACGCTCATATCATTGTAAAAAAAAAAAATTATATGTAATGCAAATGTTGGAAAAAACATTTAGTATTCTTTTTTTCTATGTAATGCTACTTCAAAATACATAAGTGCTATGTAATTTCGAAAATTACTTTCGTTTAAATTTAATTGAAAGTGAAAAAGTGCAGATGTGTAACCTTCTTGGCCGCTGGAACACACGAGGGGCGAATTTCATTTTACAAAAAAAATCATAATTTCGAAAAAATAATGCAATTCAGCAAAATCATGCCTTTTTAAAAACTTCTGGAAACCGAATTAACTCTTCAAAGTAACAAAATAATGAAAATATATACATTAGCATTATTTCAAGACATATTTATTAACAAAAAAAAGCAAATTTTAGTTAAAACTGCACTTGTTTTTTAGCCATGACTATTAGTAGTCCACTGCTTTATCAATATAAACAAAAATGTCTTTTCAACAACTTTTCTATTGCAATCAGAACACTTCCCGTTACAAATATTCTAACAATTAAATTTTAATTTAAACATAAAAAACATATCAAAAAAAAGACGTTTTTGTATTGATAAACTTTTAAAAACATTTTTTCTCTATTTGCAATACATACATATACCAACGAACTAACATTTCTATTTTATTAGTTATTAAAGCAAAGCTTGTTTTCCTGTGTCTTTTTTTATTTTTATTTTTTGTTTCGATTCAATTAACATTAAAAGAAACTATAAACATTAAATGTGTTAAAAAGAGCAAATGAAATAGAATTAATGTCGAAATTGTATTACAAATCTGTGCTTCCTTTCATTTTAGAATGTTAGAATAATTTAATACTAGTAAAGAGAAAATAAATATTAATTAAAAAAGGACAATTTGTTGAAATAATAAAAAAAATATTAAAATAAAGAGCAGTTGTTTTATTGAACCGACTCTTCACAAATTAAAGGCAGGCAAGTAAGTATGTATGAAATTAATTAACACAAAAGAATTCTCTTTAATTATTTGAAAGCAAAAAAAACAAAAAATCTGTATTTTAAATTTTAGTTACAACTTTTCAGGCATTGTTGTTATTTAAAATTCTAACACTAGTATTTTTATAATTTTAATTAACACATTAACACCGCACAGTTTCTTTCATTAATTAAATACAATAAAAACACTATTTTCGCTGTTTTCACATTTATGTAAAACTAATATGTGAACCGAATTTTGTCAAAATTTATTTTTTGAACGATATCAAATCAACTTTTAACTATGTTGTTACATTTTTAGAACCACCGGTAATAACTTACGAAACAGTTTGAAAAGCGGGGATTTTCCGAACGAAAATTCTCGAAGGAAAAATGCAATACGCTTTTCATGTACGTATATGCCAGAAGACTCAATTTGTTCCCTCTTTAGTTTTCTTGGAATTAATATTCAGCTGTTAACAATAGTTACCTTTGCAACAGAATTTTTGTTATTCAAATGCGCTTCATTTCTGTGATACCCATAAAAGGTTAGATTCTTGGCCGCGGCGCTTAACTTTTTCCCACAAGCAGCTTTTGTTAGAAAGTCACTTCGTGAATATTGTGAAAAAATGTGAGTTTCACAATTAACTTGACGTCAATTACATTTCGAAAGCACAAACACTTTGAATTACTTAATAAAGTTAGCTCAAAACACATTTTCTCTTGTTAAACATTCAGTTGAAACGTTCAAATAAATGCAAATCATTTATGTCATCACAGTTTGAGCATCACTGAGTTTATTTGTTAAACTTCATATATGACAGTGCTACCCATTTTTAGTTAGCGGATATGGCGAGCTGTCTTCACCGGCAATTTTCGCCTACTTCCTGAAGCGGTGTATATATAGTCATTATTATTATATATAACTAATTATTATTATTGATTATTATAATATATGTATATATAGAAGGCCTTTGCATAAGTTTTGTGGAATATATTAAGTGAATATAATTACTAGAAATAAATTAAAAATGAAATTTGCAATGGCTGTATTTACTCACATACAAGTTATTAAGAGAAATGTGCAATACAAAAATGCTTTCAGAGCAGGCCAACAATAAATATAAAAAGTTCAGTGGCACAAAAGTCTAAATTTATTTCCATTTAATATACAATTTTGTTGGTATATATGTAATTTTTTGCGAAAAACGCACAAACATCTCAAAGTTCACACGTATATTATAAATATTTGTTATTATAATTTTTGTTTATAAACATTTTTTTTTGTTTATTATACAAAAAACAATTTTTGGTAGAATCCCCGCAGAAATCTCCGCTGCGCATGTTATTCTTATTGTGCTCTTGCGCTCACTTTGGCGCAGGCAAAGCTTTTTGGTTTGCATCCAAATTCACATAAAACTGAGAGAATAACATACAAAATTTGGTTTCAAGCGACAATAAACTAGAATGACCACATTCTCGCCAGTCTAGCTGGAGCGTTTGTAGTGCGTGGTGGGTAGCTAAGTGATATTTTTAAATTTTTTCGTTTTTTTTTTTTGTATATACATGCACATGTATATGCATATGTTTACATAAAAATGTTTGTGCAAAAAGATAAAAACGTTTTTGGTATAAAATTAGTGAATACATACATATAAAATTCTATAAAAAGTAAAACTGGCTAGAATATGCGATAAAGAGTGTTAAGCAAACAAAAGTAAAAGTAAAAGAAGAGAGTAAGCAGTAATTTGAGCAAATCGAAGCGAAAAAACGCAGACAAATACAAATACAACGATAATGTTAATTAATTAAAGCGAAAGCCTAAAACAATTGTTATGAAATATGAAAATGCGCATATTTTCTTGTTCTAATTGTTGGTTAAAAATAAAATATAAACACTTTCAAATGCAAGCTGCATTTGACCCACTTCTATGCAACACTTACACGTATTTGCCACTTTGCCCGCACTTTGTTGCTGACGGCTGTCTCGCGAAGGTGGGGTCTGTGTCTATGCACAAACCTATAATCATGTATATACGTATATATGTGCAAAAATATGCTTCCACATTAAGTTAGCCGGCATGGCATTTTGTTTGTAAGACTGTGGAATATCTTCAGCGCCAGCTGCCGCATTTCTAAGTGTTCTTTTACGGATTTTTCAACGTTAATTTATTTTTTATTTTTGGTGTTTTTTTCAACATGTACCCACGCCTGGCGTAAATAAAATTTTGATATTACAGAAGTTAAAAAAATTTAAAATGCGAATAAATACATACATATTTTTTTACATATGTACATATGTACATTTTCCTCTATCTTCTTTAACAAATTTTTATCATCCTCTGTTCTTTGATTTTTAAACATACATATGTATGTATTTCGGTACGTGTTGCGCAACTTGCTCCTTATAAATACTATCGCTTATACGCATATCGACCCGTTCTAGCACAGCCAGGCGGTAGTGATAAACTTCAGACCTCACCATTGAAGGCGTGTATATACCGTTCAAAGGAGGAGCGTAACGCGATCTCAATTAACTGATCAATCGAATTGATGACATTTGAATTATTCATTAAGTAAATATATTAATATACATGCATGTATGTGTGAGTATGTGAAAAATTGAATTCGTTTGCTTTTTGAGTAAATACACAGTCACCTATGACGAAAATATTTTTAGCTTTTAATGTTAATAAAATTGCTGATAATGGTGTTCATATATTATTGTAGGTGTGTACATACATACCTACACAGAGGGTCTTCTAATGTAATTATAAATATATATATATATATATATATATATATATATATATATATATACATATATATATGTATTTGAGAGTTTCTCTTTACCACGATATAGTAATTAAACAATTTCCCCTTAAAGCAACTTCCGCAATAAAAAATCATTTCGTTACTTTTAATGTTATACAGAAATATTAAACAATTGGAGTTAAAAACAATTCAAAAGCTCAGAAAATTTAAATTTATACATTTGCATTCATTCATTTAACCACTGAAATCAGCTGTGAAACTCGTTGCCGGTTAATGCACACAAATTACTGCAATAACCGTGTAAATACAATTGAATAGCTGCTTCTCGTTAGTTAAGACTCGTAAACACATAAAACGTGAACATGTTAATATTACCAAATCCTGCCGAGTGCGACCGCAATTAGAAAATTCAATTTAATATTTATTTAAATTAATTTTCTATAACTTTTTGGATGTTGGTCGCACGGGGATTTGCATCCGAGCCTTCCGAATGGCAGTACGCAATGCTAACCTCTCGGCTGTCGCGGCCGGTATTTAATTTTGATTAATTTTATTTAATTTTGATTTTTTTATTTTATTTTATTTTATTTTATTTTATTTTATTTTATTTTATTTTATTTTATTTTATTTTATTTTATTTTATTTTATTTTATTATATTTTATATTATTTAATTATATTTTTTTCCATTTTATTTTATTTTTTTTTTATTTTATTTTTTTTTTTATTTTATTTTAATTTATTTTGATTTCGTTTCATTTATTTTATATATTTTTATTTTTAGTTATATCAAATTTGTTTTCTATTTTTTTTTTGCTTACATTGGTTTCTTTTTATTCTGCTGCTTAAATTATTTTTTCCTTTGTCCTTACCGAGTCGCGTGGGCAGGCATTAATTTTATTATGTATTTTCAGCGCAAACAAATTATTTTATTATCCAACCAAAAACAGAAGTTACTACAACAAAATAAGAAGCCATTATCAGCTGCTTACTATATTATTGTAAATCTCTCATACTATCTAACGTGTGTTTATATGTTAATCTCTGTATGTACGAAGTATTAATTAAAAAAAGCGAACTCAGCGCAATATCACAGAGAGTAGATTTTAGATAACGATATCATATACCCCATATTAGTATAATATTTTATTTCTTTTTTATTTGTATTTTACTCAGTATTGAGTATAAATTTCTCGTAAATTGGTACACACAGCAACAAATAAAAGATAGTTTATTAGTTTGTTATATTTTGATTAAATTTTTTTTTTTATTTTTTAATTTTGAAAGGCGCATGGTTTATAGTTAAAATTTAACTTGGTGATTTATTTTAGGTAAGAAAAAAATACTTCAATTATCTATGAATTTGTTTTTATTTAAAACGCTTTCGAATATATTTTTAGTCGTTCAAAGTACATCTTTCAAATTCTTATCTCGTATTCAAGTTTTACATCAGACCTACAAACGCCTTATTGGAAGCTGAATAGCGAATTAAAAACGCGTCTAAAGTCTAATAACGAATTGATATTTTACAATCAGTACATCCTTAGTGCTGAACAAAAATTGTATTCTTTTTAGATTAAACTAAGTTTATGCACATTTTGTTGGCGGACTAAAATGTTTATTTTTACTACATATGTAGATATATACTAGACCCAAACCGGCTGCCGTAAAAATATTTAAACTTAATCCTTCTGTCTGAGGAACTTAATACAAAGCCTCTTTATGTCACCGAATAATGAAAAACTGTGTTCAATGTCTTTTTATTTATAAACAAAAAACTCAAGTGCACTCAAAAGTCAAGTGTACAAACTTGTTAGTGAACAGTTAACAACTATCGATTAATATTGGTTGGTGGGCTTTTGTATGTGGGTAAAGAGTACTCTACAAGAATATCATCACACTTGTTGATAACATAATGTTTCCAAGCCAAAGTTGCATAGCAATTGTACTACTTATCAGGTCATCGGCAATTTGGTAAATCTAACTGCTACACAGTGTCTCTCAAACATCGTAGGCTCTATGCTTCTACATAGATAATTCGTGATCTCTGAGATATCGATGCAGAAAACGCAAAAGTATTTTTCTCAGAACTATAGGTACGTAGGATTTCTAGTAATAACAATGAGACTCCACTTTTACTCGATGTGTGACATCTATTGGCAAAGTTCGAACTTAGAACAAGATTTTAATAAGCCAGAAATTTATAACCTTTTTTTTTTAAATATAATTTTAAGTCTTTCGTAAGCATAAAAAATATTGAAGTGAAACTATCTGATGCAACAAAAATGTTTTCAGTGTGCCCAGTTGTAAAGCTTAGAATAAACAAGATTGATAAAAATGTGGAATGTGAATCAAATTAATAAATAAAAGTTGTTAACTAAATTCGTACAGACGTAATAATTTCATTAACAAAATGTAATTCATTTTATTCATACAAATTTTACATATATTTAAACTAAATAGATAATTGCATAAAAATAAGATTAAATTGAATTTCATATCAAATTATTATTATTTATTGCTTATATTCGTTAAAAATTTTTTGTCAACTTCAATGATTTGCCAAAAATTTGACTTTCATGTATTGTTATTTAACGTATATATGTATGTATATACATTATTAAATATATGTGTGCACACATAGAATATTCTCTTTTTGTTTACACAAATGCTGTTGATCAGCACTTAATTAAATTTATGTTTTTTATTTATTTTTATATTTTATAAATATGTATGTAAATGTGTGCACTTGACTGACTGCCAAAGAAACTGGCACTGAGAGAAGAATTATACAATAATACGCTCTCATATACTCTCCATACATTGTGCGCTCAAAAAATAAAAATAAAAATGAGCAACGGTTACATATGTCAACAATGTCAGCTTCCGTCCAATGAGTACGGGTGTGTGACTTAGCTAAAAGCTTTGTGAAAATTAAGATTTTTTGACATTTCCGCCTTAACGGCGTTTTCGCAAACCAAAGTGTCAGAGAATTGTTATAAGTTCTCTGCCAACGTGTAATGTAAATGTCAAAATACAAACAAGGTGCATAAAGAAAAACAAATTTGCTCTGTTCAAGCTTTTATTTATTATGCGTACTCTTTTCTATACCCAAACAAACTTTTATTTGCACAAATTTTCTACTCTCTCTCAGTTTCTCTCTCTTCTGTCTGTTACGATATCTTCTTACTTTTATTCGAATTTTCTCTGTTTATTTATTTTTAGCGAATTCATACTAACAACAAATTTCCAGCTCCACTAATAGCAAGTAACAACACCAGTGTATCAACTCACCAAAAAAAGAACACAAACACGCCCGTTAAACCAACTATACACTCTATACCAAAACAAAAAAACAAACAGGAAAAGGAAGAACAAAAGCAAAGCAGAAAACATGAATCGCATCAGTACTGCCGTCTATCGCCATTGGAAGTAAGCCACCCTCTTTTTTCAAACGAATTGTGTATGTAGTTCATTTTGACGTTTCCGCTTGTCAACGCGTTTCGTTTCGTATCATCTTCTTTCAATTCGTATATTTTTGATTAATAAATTCGTAATATTATTACACCTTATCTTACTGCTTACTAATTTCGTTGTCATTTACTGTGCAAACAATTTCTTTCACTTTATCGCGCTCCGCTCGCAAAAAGGAAACAAATATTATATACATACATACGTGTACATAGATAACATTCATCGTACCATATCATCAGACCGCTTGTGTGGCTATTCATGCACAAAACAATGCACAGTTGTTCGCGACGCGTTGAAAGAGTTGTATTGCCATAGGCTAATCGCAGCCGCTTGTTTCCACATATACGCTAGTGCTTTTCGTCATCCTAGACCCATAAAATTGTTGTTTCTTTGCATTTCGCAAAACATTCAACAAACTCACTCTTAAGTGTCAGTGCACATAACGCACCGCGTATGCAACAGGAGCTTTTGAGTTTTAATTGAAAAAATAAATATAGCATCCGGTGTTTAAAAACAAAAAGAAAAACTTATAAAAATTACACATAAATACATACATATATTTCCTTCAAATTAATTTAGTGCTTCATTGGTGAACATCGCACAGGCGAATACCAGCCGGAGTTGTAGACTCACAGCAGCAACAGCATTTACAAACGCAAAACGTGCAATGTCCTCGTCAAAGTCAAACAATGCCGCCGCGTCGGAAAAATGTCTGTCGCTGGATAATATTAATCCTCAGTTCATTGAATTGGAATATGCTGTACGCGGTCCACTAGTCATACGTGCCGGTCAAATTGAAAAGGAATTGCAGCAGGTAAGTTGGGGCGCTGCCCAGCGTATTGACGTGTGTGCAAGTGTAAAAATGTAGTGAAAATTTGGAATAAAGTGAAGTGTAGAAAATATTTTTTCTTTTTATATACAAATACAAATAATAATTTGATTTTTAACAATTATCATTATGAATTGAATTTTAATCGCGTCTGTGTTGGGTGAATTTATCGATAATTTTTCATTTGCCAATTCGATTATCTGACGAACCAAAAAATTCTTGTTCGTTTTACTTAAATTAAAAAAATATAAAAGGGCATTTAAACATTAAATTTAAATATTGTTGGTTTTATGTACGTGTATGCATGTATGGCGCTTTTAGTCGCTGAGGCGGAGATTTTCCGTCAATTTGAAGTTTTTTTTCGGTAATTAAGCCGCCTCTGAATAGTTGATGAATTTTTTGTTAATGGAAATAGATAAACGGATTTAAAGATATACTCTATATACAATACTTGCATACTCATTCAATCATCGTGGCGGTCGCGGTAGCCGAGTGATCATTATAGCCTTGTGTACTGCCATTCGGAGGGCCAGTGTTCGAATACTGGTTCGGTCAACTACAAAAAATTATAGTTAATTAATTTAATTAAATAATTAAGTTAAATTTTCCAATTGCGGTCGCCATTCGACAGGGAATGTCAACCCCTGCGAGTGTATTTCTGACATAACGTTCGAAGGCGGCTTAGTATAAACTGTAGGTCCCACCATTTGTTAGAAAAAAAAGTTGGAGGAAGAGCTCTGCCGAAATTTGCGCTTACAAAGCACCAAATACATACTGATTGAAATAAAATTAGTGATTTTTTGGTAAAATGATGTAAAGCATTAAAACCTGACTAAGCGAAAAAATAACTTTTTTTTATTATGGCAAATTAATTATTAAAACAGCTTCAAAAATTAATAAAATATATGTACATATGCAAAAAAGAGTTTCCATTTTATATCTCACAAAAAATTTAATTTTATTAACTTCAAAACATTTAATGCTTTAAATAATATAAGTAAAATAGTCATAAATGTTAATGCGGTTATTGAAACTAATTGATAGAATTTCCTTATACAAGCGTGTTTCTCTTTTTATTAAACAAAAACTAATAATAAATAATATAGCAACAAAAAAAATCAATTTTAACCAAAAGTTCTATAAGTAGATAATTTTAAATTCTGCAGCTGTACGCTAATTTGTAATTCAATCGCGAATTTGTTTGTATTCTATGAACCTTAGCTAAGGTGGAGTTCACAAGTGTTAAATTTGAATATTTGAAAAATTGTAAATAATTTGAAAAATATAATTATTTGTTAACGCGTGCTCTAAAATAAAATTTCAATCAGAAAAATGCTATAAGAGAGCTAAAATTGTGTATAGTTACCCACATTGGTGTATTGGAAAAAAAAAATATTTTTGTCATTTTTTTATAATGTAAAAATAAAACCTAAAATTTTTCTATTATTTTTTTTTCCATGTATAATAATACAAAATAGCAGTTTAAGGCGTTTTGAAATCAATTACCTCGTGTATTCAGTGTATATATGGCCTAATTTCAAATGGCAAACTGGTTTTGAAGTCAGGCGCTACCCCCTTTTCGTACATTTTGTTTGCCAATTGTATTGTTTTGTGCATTAAATGTGCGCTTATTATCTCAAAAGCGATGTTAAAAGGTACACATATAAGTAAACAGAACCATGTATGTACATACATATGTATTACTTGAAGTCCATTAAAACTTTTCCAAACAATTTTTTTCCTGCCAAACAAATTTAAATTTAATTTAATTCTACCAACAATTTCTATTTTGTCGATAAAATAAAATAATTATTCAGCCACGCTTTTACATATACATGTTATATATACAATTTATAAATATGTTAATAGATGCCTACGTGTTTAGTATAGGGACTTACGTGTACATACATATATGTATTCTATTATTCCTTCGGTTTCTCTACGTTCATATCATCTCACATCTAAATATTGTATTTGTCGCTCTTGTCGGTTTAATATTAATATTTTTTGTTATTGTTTTTATATATGTACATAACTCTAACATTTAAGAAAACAAAGCGAACACTCTTCACTGCTAAACAACAACAAACATGTATAAATATTTGCTTAGGAAATATATGTATTTACATATATATGCATTTAGAGACTAAAAGATAAATGTGCAAATAACAAATATATACAGCTATATATATATATATATAAATATATATACGCTAAGGGGCAAGTATCGCGTACATTTTCCTATTTACACAAGTATTTACAGAAATGTGCATACATACATATGTACATATGCCTATCTCTTTATTTATTTACAAGTGCATTCTATTCGAACACATTTTTGCTCTAAATCAAAGAGCAGTTAGCACTGCTAGACTTATGTGAGTCAGGTGAGGAGAGCTTTATGTGCGAAATTGTGTGAAGATGTGAATAACGTAAATATATATGTGAGGATATTCTCTTATTGTCTACCGGTTTATATATTTATTAGCAAAAACGTTCTTAGAATGTTCAACAAAATAAAAGCAAAATAAAAATAAAATAAATAAAAATAAAATCAACTAAAATTATAATAAATTATAATTGAATTTAAAATAAAATAAAATTAATTGAAGTAAAACAAAATAAAATAGTTTACATAATTTAAACAAATAAGACAAAAGGTTATTAAAAAATTCAATAAAATTAAAAAATTTAATGAAATAAACTTAAATACAATAAAATAAGACCAAACAAAAATAAAAGATTTTTTATGAAAAGAAATATTTATAATCAAATAAATAAAATAAATTATCTAACATAACTAAATAAAATAGAACATTATACAATAAATTGAGATAAAAAAGAAGAGTAAAACAAAATAAAAAATATAATTAAATTGAAAACAATTAAAATATGATAGAAACTAAGATCAAATAAAATAAAGTAAATATAAATAAAATTCATTAAGTTAGAATAAATTAAAATAAAATGAAATTAAATTAATCTAAATCAAGCTAAATTAAGTAAAATAAACAAAATAAATAAATGGAAGTTAGATTAAATTCAATTACATGAGCAATAAATACAATAAAATAAAATCGAACATAATTAAAGAAATGTGTGCATAACGAAATATAACCAAATAAATAAATAAAAATACAACATAACATAATTAAATAAAATTAAAGATAATGCAGCAAAATAAAAGAGAGTAATATAAAATAAAGTAGATATAAATAAATTTAATTTAAATTAGGCGAAATAAAATAAAAACATATTAAAAACATATTTTATATTATATAATATATAATAAAGAAATAAAAGAATAGAAATAATATTTAAATAATCAAATAAAATAAAAATGAAAATAAAACAAACAAAAAATTAAAAAAACAAAAGTAAAATACAATAATATAAAATACACTAAAATAAAATTAAATAAATTTAAATAGAATTAAACTAAATGGAATAAAATAAAATAAAAGATTGTAAAATAAAATGAAACAAATTGAAAAAAATTAAATAAAATAGCACAGAACAAAATAAAATAAAACAAAGAAGAATCAAATAAAATAAAAGAATGAAGAATAAAATAAAATGAAATAAATTTAAAAAAAATGAAATAAATTGAAAAAAAATGAAGTAAATTGAAAAAAATGAAATAAATTGAAATAAATTGAAAAAAAATTAAATAAATTGAAAAAAAAAAAATGAAATAAATTGAAAAAAAATGAAATAAAATAAAATAATAAAGAATATTTTATTCTATAAAGAAAAATAAAACACAAAAAAAAAAGGAAGAATAATGAAATAAAATAAAAAAAAGAAATTAAATATAATAAAATAAAATGAAATAAATTAAAATAAGATAAATTAAAATAGAATAAAATTAAATTAAATTAATATAAATACTAATAAATAAAAAATAAAAAAATAACATAAAATAGAATAAAATAAAATTAAATATAATAAAATAACAACAAAATGAAATAAAATGTTTTTTTATTTTAAGCAAATTGAAATGAAATTAAATGCAATGAAGCAATTAAGAATAAACAAAGCAAAATGAAATTAGAAAGAAAATAAAAATGTGATTCAATCATATAAAATACATTAAAATAAAATTAAATGATATAAAGTAATATATAATATGATATAAGCTAAAATAAAATATAATAAAAAAAATGTCATATATGTAGTCCTACTCTTCTGAAAGAATCCAAACTTTTCGGCAATTTCTACCAGCGCAGAACAAGTGACAGCCAACTCAGTAGCTAATATGCGCCTTGTTTGATCTTTGCAATTTGAGTGGCATTTAAGCAGACACAATATATTTAGTATAACATATGCACAAAAATATATTAAGCACACCAAAAAAATACGGAATTTCCATATAAAAATAAATAACTCAAAAGCCAGACCAAAGCTTGACTAGCTTATTTAACTAGAGAATTCCATATCTGGCAATATGAGCACATTAGTGTGGTTGTAAAAAGTCAAGTGAAATTTTATTTTAAACTTTTTATTTATTTTTTTATTTTTATTTTTTTTAAATTAATATTTTTTCATTGATAGTTAATTTACATTTAGTTTTAAAGGCATTACGTATAGTATGAGTAGATACTATAAAAAAATTCACACATACATATACATTATGAAATTATTAAAGGAAGTGTGAAAAATGTTTAGTATAACAATTTTAATTTCATTACTACTTTTTTACTTTTACCTAAAAAATTTCGTTTACAAAGATCTGATCACATACTCATATTAATTATTGATTCATTTTTAAAAAAGAATAATACATACATAAATACGAGTACATACCAATGCTTGTTTCTAAGAAACACATTTATGTATGTATTTTTGATGGTCAAAGCCGCTCACAAGGACATATGACACACCCACTTACCCGCTATTGTTCTTAAATGGAAAATTGATTTTCACTTAAGGCTCTGCTCTTTGATGGTCACGGAGGATATGATGAACCGTGGCATTGACTTTTT